CTGATTGTTCAGTAGACACTCAAGGGGGCCAAGAGGGAGGTGTGAACCGCAAAGATGAGCAAGACAGCCCTGCCCTCGAGCTCACGGCCTGGGGAAAACCAGCCGTCAGGACCTAGTGCGATATGCAGCAGGCACCTAGTAACAACTCCCACTGGAGGAAATGAGGTTCAGAGACGTTAGGTTTCATGCTGAAGGCCACACAGCATGGCATCTCTCTCTGCCCCCAAGGCCTGAGCTCTCACCAACAGGCCCCACTGGTAAGCACGACAGCAGGGATATGAGGTGACGGCCTTCCCATCCCACTTCCCTGGGGACAGGGAGTTAGGGAAAGCCCCTGAGGAGGGTGAGATCCAACCTGAAACCTGGAAAAATGAGCCGGGGTTAGCCAGGTGAACGTGGAGGCCTCGGAGACGAGGAAGGGGGAGGTCCTCCTGCTGGAGGAGACCACGTGGGCGAGGGCAAGGGTGTGGGGGCCGTGGGGAGCTGGAGTCAGAGAGGGGCGCCCCGCCCTTCCCCAGCCCCTGCCACCTCAGGCCCTGCCTCGCCTGGTAGCTGCATACTGTCCTTGCTTTTTTAAAGGATACCCTTAACTTTTCTTAAAGATTTTGTTTTTGTTTTCGTGTTTGTGTGTTTGTTTTTCCCTATGAAAGAGAAAGACTCAGAGAGCGCGACCCACCCCGGCCTCTTCAGCTGGATCCCGGGCTCATGGCATATTCAGGGAGGTCTCTGGACACAGACCCAGAACTTCCCCACGTGGGCCCAGCTGCACCCCCACGTGCCACTGCCTGGCCCCCAGGTACCGACTTTACTGTCTGGGGCGTTTCCTTGTCCGCTACTCACTTTTTCCCAAGGTCTCTCCCTCTCCCAGCATAGCGTGCCTGACGTGAGGGAGACCCGGAACACGGGAGGGCTGTGAGTGCCAGGGGACGGGGCTGGGCTGGGGGTCTCCCCCATGGGTTGGGCCAGGAACAGAGCGGGGGGGCTGGAGGGTCCCGGGACGGCCATCTGCACTAATCATCCAGCAGACGCTCTCGGGGAGGGATGGGCCCACTTGCTTTGCACTGGGTAAACTGAGGCACAGACAAGGTTTTAACAGTAAGAAATGTGCCCGAAGCTGCACCTTCATGGCCCTCTCTCATGTCCGCCAGGACCAGGGCACTGCTGCGTGCTGGAGTCTCCGCAGATAAAAAGTTCAGTGTTCGTCAATTTCAACATGGAAAAATCAAGATGATGAAGACTGAGCAAATGAAAATATTCACGCCCCACACTCGGATGGGGCTTCACTGAGCACTTTTGGGCGCTCTCAGAGAAGCACTCCACGCTCTCCCAGGACGGTGGAGCAGGACGGAGGCTGCCAGCTCAGCCCCCCTCACAGACAGAGAGGCTGAGGCCTGGTAGGTGGGAATGACCTGCCCCCATGGCCACACCCACAAGCGACAACATTGAGCTCAGGCTCGAATCTGGGTCTGCAGCTTGTGCCAGGATGGGGCATGGTCTCTCCCTGGAACCTTCCACCGGGCTTGGCTCTGCATGAAGTTTGGGCCCCTGCGCTGGTGAAGGGGGCCAGTGTGTGGGGCTCCAGCTCCACCCTTTACTCCAGGACTTCTCCTTGAGTAGGGGACGCCTGCTTCCTCCCCTCAGCCCACAAAGATCCCATGGGACCCGCCTGCCCCCACCCCGCCAACAACAGGCTTGGTCCACCACCTGAGCATGCCCTGCGTGCATCCAGACCCTGGCACTTTCTTGCTAAAGTGCAGATTCTGGCTCAGCAGGCCTGCGGTGGGGCCTGGGCCTCTGCAGGCTGCAGGATCGCTCTGCCCCACCCTGCTTGGCTGTGGCTCTCGGCCTTCTGTCTCTCTCTCTCTCCCCACCCTGCTTCAGTCTCTCTCCTGAGTCTCAAGTGGGTAGCTTTTGTCTCCACAACACAAAGAACCGCTTTCCCTGTCCCTTTCCTGGGGAGCACAGGCGCTGGCCAGAGACCTCTGGTGCACGGTGGAGCCGCTCCTGAACCCAGTCACACAGTCCTGGGAGCAGCAGCTGCCCTGGCAGGGCTTGAGGAGCCTTTGCCCACTGCACCTTCCTCCCCTCCTGGCCCAGCAGATGCCCACCCCAAGGCTAGCCTCTAGGGCAGGCCCTGGGAAGTGGGGGTGGGCAGGGGCTGCATCTGCTCCTGCAAACCTTCATTGAAATTTTGCCCTTGCCCAAGAATCCTCAGCTGAGAGCTCATCCCTATTAATTCTCATTGTGCATTTAGAGCCAATAGGTTTTTATTTATTCATTTATCTTGTCTTCCACCCCCCTCCCCTTCCTCCCCAGGCTGGAATTTACAATTCGGTTCTCAGGCGGCCTTGCCTTGCAGAGGCCAGGAGGCCAGGAAGGGGTGAAGAGTGGCTGCCCCTCGGCCTTCTTATACCCTTGAGTGCCTGGGAGTTCAGGGTGGCTGGATGGTGGCCCTGCCACAGGAAGGGGGAGGCAGGGACCCCCTGGGCCTTTGTAAGGATAAGGGGGCAGCGGACCAGCACGCGAGCAGCCGTCAGGGTGCCCCCTGGTGGTAGATGAGCAGCACCAGCCCTGGCTGGGGGAGTTTAAGCTCCTGAGCCAGCAGCCTGCTGCCTGGGAGACTAGGAATACAGGGCGTGGCGTCCTCAAGGCTGGAGACAGGCAAAGAACCCAAGGAGGACAACCAGGGAAGCCATCAGGAGAAATAACGACAGCGACACCCGTTAACAACACGCCGAGGCACGCGAGGCCAGGCCGCATCCTCCGGCCAGCACTGTGGCGCCTCTCCAGTATCACCGCTCCTCCATGAAAGATCCCGAAACTCAGTGAGACGGAAGCTCAGGGAGGAAAGCCCCTGCCCTCTGGGGTCAGCACAGGTCCTGGGCACAGAGGAGTCCCTGGTCTAAACCAAGTGACCTTGGCAGGATTTAGCCAACCTTTTCTAATCCCCCAAATGGGATTAGACTCAGACCCGCCTCGGAGCACCACGGAGATGGTTAAATGAGACACATACAGGTAGCCATGATAGACTGGTGTCGGGGTCGAATCCAGACCGTCTAGACTGTCCCAGTGTGACTCCCCCCTCTGCAGAAGCCAGACCCCAAAGGTTGCCCTGCCCCTGACGGGACAGTGAGCCCATGCTCATAGGCCACCTGTTCGTAATCGAGGGCAGAGCCGGGTAGAGCCCGTATTGAAATACTGAAGTTCAACAGATGGGTGGGGTCTGCCTTGACCCTCCTCACTGGTCTGGGAAGAGGGGACAGAGCTCCTTGCAGATCCCAGGGCTCAGCACAGCTGCTGAGGCTGGGGTGGCCCCCCTCAGGCAGCCACTGAGGGTGGAGGTGGGGCACAGGGCCAGGCCAAGGGCTTCTTGAGCCAGCTTTGGCCAGGAGAGGGCCCTGGCCCTGCATCTGAGGGACACCTGCAGCCCCCAAGCCTCTGACTAGAAGCAGGCCCTATGAGTGCTGACGTCGCTGCCCCGTCCCTGGCACGTTCAGGCGGCAACAGGGGTTAAGAGGAAATAGGCAGCAGAAGCTGATACGAGAGGCAGAGGGGCCCCGCCCAGCATGCCTGGAGCCCCTGCATGAGCTGCGATGTAGACGCAGAGCTGGATTCCAACCCTGGCCTTACCTGGTGCCCTGGACTCGCTTCAGGACCTGGCCCTGAGCCAGGGCGGCCCTGTGGTCCCCAGTACAATGATGTCCCTGGGCCACCCAGCCCTGACTCCCAGCCTCTGCTGCCCCTCCCCACCCAGCTACCACTCAGTGACGCCGGGGGAGCCTCCCTTCCTGGGCTGGCGGCTCTGTGAGGTGCTTGAAGTCACGCATGGAACTGAGCTGTCTCAGGAGCCAGGCCAGGCAGGCACACCTGGTCAGCCCCACTTTGAACCCAGAGACCTAGGCACTCCCCAAGGACACCAGAGGCCTCAGCCGCCCCGAGGAAGATGAGGAAGACGGAAGACGCTGAGCACAGCACCTGCAGTCTGGCTGCCCGGCCCAGCCTCCCCTCAGGGGTCCGCTCAGCTATCTGGTTGAATCACAGCTTCACACCTCTGAGTATGTCCCCCTGACCTGCACCCCGGTTGCCTCAGTTTCCCCAACAGTGTGAGCAGAATGCGACAGGTAACATCTTTGGGGCACTTGCTCTATGCCGGGGTCGTTTGGGACAGTGGACATGTTGTAACTAAACCATTAACTCCTTAGCATGACCTTAAGAGTGTGTGCCCATTTTACAGATGACAGAGCCCAGAGATGTCATGGTCCAAGCCCACACCCTTAAATTCCTACTTCGCACAGTGCAGATCGGCCTGGCTGAGCGCGGAGAGGAGGCCGTGCTCGGGGGAGACCAAGCTCAGCCCTCGTGCCCGAGAGCCGCACCGAATGACCTGTGTTGCGGTCATCGAGGCTGCTCTCTGCCCCCTTCTCTAACTAGGAACTCAAGGGACAACGTGTGCACCTGCCTTCCCCTGGCTTAAGGAGGACTACGGTCATTGCCTGTGGGGCTGTCCCCTCTGGCATCGCCCCCGTCCTCCGAGCTTCCCATGGGACAGTCCTCTGCACAGTGCCTGCTCAGTGCTCACCCACCCTGGCCTCAGAGCCACAGGCTGGGCCGGATCAGGTGGCCTAGGAGGTTGCATAGCGGAAGGAGCCTGCAGGTGGATGTGGGAGTGGCTCACTCACCCAAGGTGCTCACTTCGTGTGGGGAGGCGGGGCTTACCTGGGAGGCTGGGAACTGAATACTCCAGTTTCCTGAGAGCAAACCACCTACAGGTCAGCTGACCAAGAAGGCCCCCATCCCCCAGAATAAAGCCCCAGGGCTCCGGAGTGAGGGGTGGCCTCTGCTTTGGCTCATTTCTGAGGTGGGACAGGGACCTGGTCCCACTCCAAGATGCAGGACGTCACCCTTGCATTGGGTCCTCCTGCTGTGCTCGCCCTCCCTGAGGCGCCGTCCCAGCCCTCCCACGGCCCGGCCCGGCACACAGCAGCAGCAGAGTAACTTACATGGGAGCAGAACCTCTCAGGAGGGTTTCCACACGTGATGCCCGGCGGCTCCACCTTCACCTTGACGTAGTCCTTGAGGCGCATCACCTTGGGCTGGCAGGCGTAGAACTCCCAGGTGGGGCCCTCATCCGTGGTCACCCAGGATTTGCAGATGTCGTAGTCCCCAGAGGCCAGCGGGAGGCAGTGCAGGAAGAGCGCCAGCAGGTGCAGCATGGCTGCACAGGCCACGGGGGTGAGGCCCAGAGAGGCCTTGGAGAGGCGATGACCGGCTCAGGCGGGACTCGCGGCCTCAGCATGGACACGCCACATCTGCCGGGCAATGGTGGCCGGGGTGTCCCAAGGAACTTGAGCACTGCGGACTTGCAGGCAGCGAGAAACTTGCTTGTTTCCAAAGGCCAAGACAGAAAATTCAGAGCCAGCGTTTCTCAGACTGCTGATGGGCAGATCAGAAAGTCGCCCCTAAATTCGCGAGGAGTCCTCCTAACCTTGGCATTGCGCCTCTCCCGGAGGCCGATCTGATCAAGTCAGGCAGACTCTCAAATTGTGACAGTGGGTGGAAATGGGATAAGGAGAAAATCCGCAGGGATCGGCATGAGGCCGGATCAGATTGCTTTTAATTTTTGTCCTTCCAATCAATCCAGGCCTTTAAAGGGCCCTTAATGTGTGATGTGCTCGACACAACTGCAGCACAACCCTCCGGCCTGCGCTGTAAAGATAAAATAGAATCAGGAGGTGTAGACATTAGCTGGAAACGTGTTAGCTCTCTGGGACTGGACTTGGCATCTCAGACCAATAAAAGAGATTTCTTTTCATATGGGCTTAAAGTGACAACAACTGTGTGACTGGGCTGGAAAAAAAAAGTACTGAGGTGTTAACTGGAGAGAAGGCTATTGGCTCTGCTTTGGGGAGGACAGGCAGTAATAGGGCCAGCTGACCTTGGCTGGCGGCCATCGGTCACTTATTATGAAGTTTGAGACTTCAGCTCTCGATCTGCAGGTACCTGGGGTCTGACTTGTCTCTCATTGTAAGAGGAGAGAGGAGAGCGAGCTCATTAGTAACAACACCTGCAACAAATTAAAACGAGGGGCAATAGCGATGTGGAAGAACAACAGCTCTCTGGCAAAATGTGCCAAAAACGAGGCTGCATTAGCAAGGTCTCCCGAGAAAACTGGGTTATTTTTATTAATATTGGAGTTGCACATTCAGAGATTAGGGATGATAGTTAAAAGGTGATCATTTTCTCAGCACTTGGGGGGGTCACTCAGCAGACGTGTCCCTACGTGAGGGTCAGAGACTTTCTAAAGCATTCCCAGGAGCTCAGATTTCATGGTGGCTTGGAGATACTATGACTGACACGTGAAAATGTCCACGTTGTTCAAGGCAGAGATGGGACTGGGGCTGTAGGTACTGGTGAGGTGACACCTGCAGGGCGGATGGACGAGTGGGCCACTGTGGCCCATGGAGAACCCAGCCACGGTGGGCCCACGGAGAACCCGGCCACGGCGGGCCCACAGAGAACCTGGCCATGGTGGGCCCACTGAGAACCTGGCCACGGCGGGCCCACTGAGAACCTGGTCACGGCAGGCCCACTGAGAACCAACAACCAGCACCAACAGCTATTTCCCAACCACAGGCCCCGGCGTGTGAATTCCATTTTTTCCTAACTGCGAGCGCTGAGGGATGTTGAAGACTTCCTCGGAAGCGACAGTGTGTACTTGCAGTAGACTTTCCGATCAAGGCCAACATTTGCAACCATCCTTAGAGGGTACCTATGAATGGACCATTGCTGCCATTATTGCCTTGCTATTTTAGGCCTCTGGTAATTATTTAAAGGCCAGCGTAGATACACCTACTATGACTACCACTGGGGGAGATACACAACTCCAGCAATGCGGTGTGTTTTCAGACACTCGATACCCTGCCGGGACACTGCGAGTCCAGCTAGCATGAGATCCTGGTCAGAACGGCAGACAGGCCAGACAGGCGAAGGGAGCTGCCAGGAGGAGACCGCCCGGACCTTCACTACTCAGTCACCACGCCTTGATTCCGCGTTTGCAAGCATCGGGGCTCAGGCACCACCTGGCTCTCACCTGACATCTTCAGCCACTGCTCCTGGAAGGCCCCTGAAGAATGAACTGTTGTCATGAAACCCCATTCTCCACCCACACAAAACTTGCTCCTGCCAAAAATGACAAAGCGGACGGCCAGGCCAGGCTGCCTAGGCTGGCCGCTGGGGCCCTGGGATCTGGGAGAAGCCCCCAGCCGGCCCCAGGCCTCCAGGCGAGGAACGCATCCATCTGCATTAAGGAGGCCCCTGCCCCTCTCCCAGGGTGAAGGTCTCCTAATAGAGATGAAGAACCGACCAAAAGCATTTTCCAGTCTCACCTCTGGGCGTCTAGGGAGAAACCTGTTCTAGGGCCTGCGGGCCGAATGTGCTCCTTGCTAGAAAACTCTCAGAAAGACCGTGTGCAGCGTCTATTTTTACAATCTGAGAAAATGCAGCAAAAATAAAATCTCGTGGCCGGCAAAGGTTTGGATGCCTCTACCCAAGCTCGGCGCTGCCCAGAAAACAGCACGTCCCTAATTAATTCTCCCAGCAGCGGATTCCCAACTGTTCAGGAACAGGTAGGGCGCTTCTGACTGGGGCCGCCCGGCGGCGTAGGCTCCCGAGGAGGGCGCAGCTGCGGCTTCCTTCACCCGCTGCACGGCGACCCTGGCGGACACCGGCGCCGGGAGGCAGCCAGGCTCAGAGGCCAGGAGGCCCGGACTAGCCTTGCGGGCAACTCACAGATCTATGAATTGTTTTGCAGTTCTGTTGGCTTAAAAGCCACACATTCCCTGGAAAATGGAAGAAGGAAAAAAGCCAACAGTTACAGAATCTGCCGCGGGGAGGGGAGGGGGGCTGTGTTTACAACCAGTCAATCAATCCGTTGCTGGCATCTGAAGGGACTTGTAAGAGCAGCTCACGAACATTAGTCGGGTATTGCTAAAAAAGAAAAAAAAGGGAGGGGGGGAAAGCGTCTCCGGAATGACCAGGCAGATAGCAGGGAGGGGGAAGCCGGCAGGGAAATTTCAGAGTAAGAGGTTGTATCCCGGTGGAGCGTTTTCTCCTTGGAAAATAACTCTTCACCTGATATTATTAAGAAACTGCAGCTCCCAGAAACAAATAGAATCAATGCGTTTTATTTTCTTTTAAGAGTCCTCAGGAACAGAGGGGGGCTGATAGCCAGGGTATTAAAACTCGAAAATTAGATTTTATCAGGATTTCTGAACTCAGATTTCTCTGCCTTATTGAATTAGCGCCTCTCGGAGCTGGCTGGGCTCGCCAGCAGACTTCTTTCGGATTTGCGGGTTGTGGCCCCGACCCTGTGAAACTTGCTGCGGTGGGCGCGGGACCCCCGGGAGGGATGGGGGAGCCGTCGCTGGGAGTTTCTGGGGTATCAAGCCCACCCGAGGTTCCCTTTCCTTTCCTGGGGGGGGGGAGGCGGCAGAGGAAGGTGAAATCTGTCTCGGGAGGGTGGTCCGGTGTTGTGGGGGCAGGAAGGGAACCGGTAGCCCAAAATGGGCCGCAATCACCTTCCAGTCCCCCGCCCCAGGTGGGTCCTGCAGGTGCTCCATGCTCAACCGGCTTCGGGGTTCCGGCGGCCCCCAGAGGCCTCCCTCCAGAACAAAAGCTTTCTCCGCTCCCCTGTCCCTCACCCCACGCCCTCTCAGCCGCCAGGGAGCCCCGGAAAGTTAGGCACCGCGGCGAAGTGCAAGGAGACCACCGCCGGGCGGTTGGGGGCTTGCGGTGCGTCCCAGCAGGCGGTGAGTCCCGGCGGGTGGGCGGGTACTGCTAGGACCGCGGACGCGGCGGGGTCGGGGTCGAGTAAAAGCTTCCAGACGGCCGCAGTCGGTGTGCGCTGCACACGGGCGAGCCAGGCAAGCCGTCGCTGCTTTTGTGCCTCCGAAGTTGCATGAGAGCACGGAACAATTAATGCATTTTAATAAGGACCAGCTGGTGCCCGGGGTGCCCTCTTATTTGGCACCATTTGGCACCGCCTCCCTTAATGTAAAGCCTCGGAGTAGGACGCGGCATTAGTTGCCGCCTTTCTCCTCCGCGAAGCTGCAGGCGCCGACCCTGCCGCCTCCGCCCCCCGCAGACAGGCAACTTCCTCCGGCGCCGGCGGACCCCGCGAGCCCGCGGCCCCTTCCCGCCTTCCCGCTGCCTCCTCTCCCCCCACCGGCTCGCCACCCAGCTCGAGGCTGGACTTCACACGGTCGCCAAGCCGTTTCCTGCGCCTCCTCCCCGGCCACGCCTCACCCCCACCAACCTACCGACCCCCTCCACGGCACGGAAAGAAGTTTCCAGTCTCGGCTGGCAAGTTTCTCTGTGCAGCTCACACATTCCCGTTTGCAGAGATGACAGAGCATGGGATAGGGGTGGCTCTAGACGGTGGCGATTAAATTGGGGTGGAGTGGCGCAAGAGGGGGTTAATTTCCTTTCCATAAACACAGCCAAGTCTTCTCGCAACACCCGCCACCCCCTGCACCCCTCTGCAACACACAAGGTGGAAGAAGACCCGGGGAGACAGCCGGCCAGCAAGCTCAGCTACTCCTTTAAGATGCTGCTTCAAACGCACACTCACACACCCCCTCGGCGACTCAGCCCTCGCTAGTAACCGCCGCCACCAAACAACTTTTGCATCTGAGCCTCTGCCGGGCTGCCGCGAGTGGCTCCCCGGGGCCGCGGGCGC